AAGGCTTCACCGAGTTTTTGTAAGGTGTATAGGTTTGGTATGGAGAAACCCTAAACCCGAAACCCCAAGGCGTTTTACGGGCACTCTAAGCCTTAGACAAGCCCCACTGCCCAGGTGGACCGCGAGAGCGACCAAGACACCGTCAAGAAGGTTTACAGGCCGCGCACGAAGTCGATTTGGGCTTTGGGGTTTAGGGCTTAGAGTTTGAGGCTCAGGATTTCGGGTTTAATGAGGGTTTAGGCTTTAGGATTCGAGCCTTCAGTAGGACTCGGTGTCCAGCAGGGTTTAGGCTGCAGGATCGATCACTCTCTCTCTTTTCTCTCTCTCTCTCTCTATCTCTCTCTCTCTCGCTCTCTCTCGCTCTCTCTCTCTCTCTCTCTCTCTCTCTCTCTCTCTCTCTTTCTCTAAAAACCCTAAACCCTAAACCCTACACCCTGAGCCCTAAACCCTAAACCCCAAACTCTACAAGGCTCCTATAAGCACCCTATAGCACCCGCTCCCTCTCCCTCTCTGCACGCTGCCCCGGAGCCTTGCCCAGCAGACGTGGGAAAACTGGGGACCCTGTCTGAAAAGTGGAAAATCACAAGCCGGGTCTATGGTTCAGGGCTTTGGGGTTTAGGGTTTAGGGTTTAGAGCTTTGGGGTTAGGGTTCAGGGTTTAGGGTTTAGGGTTTAGGGCTTTAGGGGTTTAGGGTCTATGGTTTAGGGCTTTAGGGCTCGAGGGGTTTAATTAGGGTTTACGCTTTGGGGGCTTAAGTTTAGGGTTTAGGGTTCAGGGTTTAGGGCTTTAGGGCTTTAGGGCTTTAGGGCTTTAGGGCTTTAGGGCTTTAGGGCTTTAGGGGTTAGGGCTTTAGGGGTTTAGGGTTTACGGTTTAGGGGTTTAGGTTTAGGGTGACGATATGGGCTTTCGAACTCAAGGTAGCAGGATGTAGTGTGTAGTTCCATTAGATATGTGGGCACCGCGCGAGAAGTACATAACTTGGAGGTTCATGGGTAGTTATAATTGGAGTCATGAGTAAGCTGACTATAATTATAACCCCTATTAGGGGACTTATGACCCTACTTATAACTACCCATGAGCCTCCAACAAGGCAGGGCTGGATCTTGCTCTAGATCCTACACCCTGGAAACTCTGGAACTCCAAAGCCAAAGTCCCAATCATCCCTGAATTCCAGACTCTAGGACCCTAACCCGAAGCCCTAAATTAAACCCTAAGCCCTAAACCCTAAACCCTAAACCGAAGCCCTAAATTAAACCCTAAGCCCGCTGTTTTGTGCAGGAAGCTTGTGCTGCAGTGGCACCCGGATAAGCATCCTCAGAACCGAGAGGCCAACCAGCACTGTTTGTTTGCCAATGTCGGGCTCTCTCGTTGTCGTGTTTAGGGTTCCAGGACGCTGGGGATTCTACTCGGAGGATCATGAGACTTAGTAAGTAAGGTTATACGTCCCTTAATTGGGGTTATAAGTATAGTTACCCTAATTATAACCCTACTTACTAAGTCCCATGAACGTTGAAGTAGGGTTAAGGGGTCGAGGGGCAAGAAGTCCAGCTCCTGCCGGGTTCTGCGCAGTTTAAATGGCTCTGAAGATTTAGATTCGATTTTATACGGCCTCAGAGGCTTCGCAAGGGCCTACCGATGGTGGGCGACCACACGGCTTCGTTGCAGGTCTAGTCGGGAGCATTAAAACCCTAAACCCTAAGGACTTTCTGCTGGCTCTTAGCTGTAGACAAGGCAAAGGGCTCCGGAACTGAACAGCGAGACCACCCTGCTGAGATCAGAAATCCTTCCGTCCTAATCCCGATTGCTACAATGGCTGAACTTCTGGTACGGTTGATGATATGAATCCTGCATTACCCATAGTAAGACATGCGCCCTAATTCCCATAAATTAGGGTCCTAAAGGTAATGCAGGACTTATATCATCAACAGTGGTGTACTTGAGGCTCGGAATCCAAGGTGTCTGAACAAGCCCATCGACCCTAAAACCGAGGTGTTACCTTCTACGGCCCTAAACCCTAAACCTAACAAACAAAATAAACCCCAAACCAAAATCCAAAAAACAACTTAAAGCCTAAACCAAGACAGAACCTAAACCCTAAACTCTGAGAGGCCGCCGAGGAGAAGATCCGTGAGATCAACGATGCCTACGAAACCTTGAGCAATCCGCTGCTCGCCTGAAGCCACACCGGGCTCGGGGTTTAGGGTTTAGGGTTTAGAGTTTTGGGATGGAGTTCGGATTGAGGGTTTAGGATTGGATAATGTAGGGGCATTAATGATTAGAATGGTGATTTAAGTATGTTGGAGTATGCTTGTAAAGGGGTCGATCATAGGCGGCTCCGAATACTTATTGAGCTTCCAGACCTTCATGTTAGGATGTTTTGGTGTGGGGACGAACCCGGCTGCTTTCTTGTTTAAAGTTGAGTCCAAGTGATGACCTAAAGCCTCAACCAGCCGGCAGAAGCCCAGGTTCAAGCGATCACAGTATGACAACATGCTCATCGCTCTGGAGCGCAAGGCTCTGTTTTATCGTTTAGGAACCCTAAGTTTAGGGTTTAGGGTTTAGGGTTTAGGGTTTAGGGTAAACCCTGAACCTTAAACCCGATCGGCTCTGAGCAAGTCCACGCACGGAGATAGTAATGTAGGGACCTTAGTAACTACCTGTATTATTCCTTAGGGTTCCTTATTTCTGGACGCGTTCTGGAGGGTGTCTGTGTTATAAATATACTATGATGTACCCCAAAAGCCTATTCTAATTATCAAGCCCCTGTATGAGGCTTCGCAAGCTTCTGTGCAAGATGGAAGTTTTGGGTCCTGCAATACTTGGCATTGTAGGTTTAGGATCTAGGGCATAGGGTTTACTTAGGCCCTGAAGAACCTAGCTTTTCAGGGCTCCTTACTATGATTTCTTATATAGGTCCATAAAGCAGGTAACGAACTCCTCCAACTTTTTTGCAGGCCAAAGGCTTTCGGCTGGACACCACGATGATCAAACCGAGAATGCCGGCCACTTAAAGCCGGTTTGGGGGTTTAGGGTTCAGGGGTTTAGCGGGGTTTAAGGTTTAGGGGTTTAGGGGTGTTTAGGGTTTAGGGGTTTAGGGGTTTAGGGGAGTTTGGGTTTAGGGTTTAGATGTTGCGCTGAATGATTCGAGGTTGCATTGGAGTTTGGGGTCTCATGCAGTCGGGTTCAGAGCCATATAGCATCAGGCTTAATCAGCCATGGCTCAATCTAGTCAGGGATTTTTTGGGAGGGTTTTACCATACCCTAAGCCCTAAGCCCTAAGCCCTAAGCCTTAAACCCTAAACCCTAAGCCCTAAACCCTAAACCCTAAACCCTAAACCCTAAACCCTAACCCCAAAACCTTGCAGCCGCAGAGCCGAGACCTACGGCACAGCCCTCGGGCTCAGGGTTTAGGGTTTAGGGTTTAGGGCTTAGGGTTCGCCAGCGCAGTTTTTTGGAACTTCGCGAGCTCTAAACACCTACATGCTTAAACCCCTAAAGCCTCAACGCACAACCCTGAACCCCTAAACCCCTACACCCCTAAGCCTCTGAATCCCCAAGCCCCTAAACCCTAAAATCCCTACAGCCCTAAGCCCCTGAATCCCTAAACCCCTAAAGCCTAAATCCCGAATCCTAGACTCACCCCCCCAAACAGAAAACGGCAAGTGAACTGCCCAGAGAGTTTAGGAGTTAAGGATAAGATGTAGGGTTGTCTTGCAAGAATGTTGCGTGAGCCTTACACCAAATCGGTATACGAATACGATATGAATCACAAGCACGCTGACGAATGCACATATTCACTCTCGCTCTCCTGTCTCTCTCTCTCTCTTTCTCTCTCTCACTTTCTGTCTCTCTTGAACCATTGCTTGCCCCCCTACTCATTGCCCTCTACGCACACGAAGCTACACAGTGAACCCGACGGCCGACACCCGTAAACCTGACACCTGGGAAGCGCCTTCCGTGAGCCTGTTTTGAGCCCGAAGCACAGAAAGTTGCCACCCAGGTCCATCCCGAAAGAGTTCATGCTCTCACCTCTGGGTCACCCGGACAAGCCCTGACCTCAATGATGGTTCAGAGGGCGTCCGAGGCACTCCTGCATGATTCAGTAGTTCCCCCACCCCCTTCGCCTTTGTTGGGCAGGTCTGGCCATGAATAATATCTCCGTTTCAGCTGCAACTTTGTCAGTGTCTCTGGCACTGTCCGGGCAAGGGTTATGTCGATGATAGTTCTGTAGCCGAGCTGATCTGAGGCAGTCGTGTTAGTCAGAGTTTACGGAGTTTGGGGGATCCCCTTAGCCCCCCTATTAGAGCTGATGTGCAACTGGTGGGGCTGTCGGCTTTCTAGTTTTAACTGTCGCCATGGCAGGACCTTCTTTGTGTTATGTCTGCCTCGCGCTACAACTGCAGGCTTTGGGGTTTGCTCTCGAAATGCTGATGTCCTAAGCCCTAGACCCTAAACCCACCTTACCCAAGCTTCGGCTGCGAGTTGGTGTAGCTGGTCTGGGCTGGGAGGACTTGAAGCGGTTTGGGTTTAAGGTTTAGGGTTTAGGGCTTAAGCCATAAATCTCAAGCATTAGCCTAGACATCATAGCGTACGCGAACGGCATCACAATTATGATGGAAGCAATGTCAAGTGACATTGTCTGTGATGGCCCAGAATATGGTGAGTGAAGATGATGACCATGACATGCATGCTAAATGACGAGCATGGCGAGTGGTAGTGCGGTGTACACGAACTTGCTGTGCAGGTGTTCATCTTTCTATATATAACTGTATGCACATGCTCGGTCTCATGCAGATGTGTATGTTGTGTCGGTATTCGCGGATGCATATCTGTGTCTCTGTCGTTTTCACACCCGTATGGTAGACGGCATTTACAATCTATCTGCATCCATGCAGTTGTAGGTGGATTCAATCTAATTAGAGTTGTTTCCCTCTCTTACGTATGCGCATCATGTACCGACACACCCTGACCTGGCATCATGCATGTGCAGAGAATTTCAGGTTCGTCCGCGTTGTGGGCTTGTCCCTCTTCGTGCAGCGGGCCCAGAAGCTGGGAAAACCCCTTATCCGGCTCCCAAACCCTAAGCCCTGGATCCCAAACACACCGCCACCTTGAAGCAATAAAACCCTAAGCCCTAAATCCTAAACCCTAAACCCGAAACCCCAAAGCACGAGGAATCCTTGCTCCCTTCAGCTTCCATCCGACTGGGCAGAGGTAGGGTGGAGTAAATGTCTCAGAGCCACCAGCTTGGTAACCTGTAATCTTAGGGTCCCACTTCCGCTTGAATCCTTAAGAGTCCCGGGAGTCGGAGTCCTGGAACATTCGTACCGCATCCCCCGAATCACACCCCCTCCGTGGCCGGGTTGCTTCCCACCAAGCTTCTGAGTAAACCCTAAACCCTAAACCTTAAACCCTAAACCCTAAACCCTAAACCCTAAACCCTAACCCCTAAACCCTTCTGAGCTTCGTTCGCAAATTCGCGAAGCTCGTCTCACGCCTTCCGCTGGGGACGCATCTTCTCTCACCTCGCACTTTATCCTTTTTTGGGGGTACTAGAATATTCCCTACTTGGAGGTTTATGGGTAGTGATAAACGGGGTTATAAGCCCCCTATTATAATTATGGGTTATAACTATTCTAGTTACCCTACTTATAACTCCAATTATAACTACCCCTGAACCTCCAAGTACATAACCCCAACATACTCCCAAAGGTTAACTTTCAGTTCAAGAGGATAGACAAGTAGGTCAGATGTCTTCCTACCGAAGATTTTCGGAGCCTTCGATCTACGCGAGAAGGCCTACACTTGGGACCCCTTCCCATTTTTTAACGTTTGTTATCATCTCATCGGAGGAGTTTGAGTGGTGAGTCAGAATCTGTACTTTATGTTGGGTTTACGGACTAGGGGCTTGTCGCAAATCTTGAGGCCAAACCCGGAAACCCGGGCTTACGCTTCAGCGTCTATGGCTTAGGGCCAGCTCAGGGTTGCAACAACTGCCCTCGTATACCAGGTTGGACCTGAGGCGTAGGGTTTAGGGGTTTGGGGTTTAGGGTTTTAGGGTTTAAGGTCTAGGGTTTAGGACTTTTGGTTTAGGGTTTAGGGTATATGGTTTAGGGTTTAGGGCTAAGTTCCAAGAGTGTAGCAACTTGGATAGCTGCAACCTGGTAGTGGCAATGTTTCCTTAATGTTGTACCTGCACCTCTCCGACGTTGTGTGTGATCCCGCTCCGTGTCGGTTGTGCCTCGAGACGCGATCATATCGATATCTACCGTTGTGACGAAGTCAAGGAACCCTAGAACCCTAGAGCCCTAAACCCTAGAACCCTAAACCCTAGAACTCTAGAACCCTAGAACCCTAAACCCTAAACCCTAAACCCTGAACCCTCAACCCTAAACCCTAAACCCTCAACCCTAAACCCTAAACCTGAAGCTTGAACTTCAAGGCCCTGCTACATCCAAGCTAGACTCATCGACTACAGGCAGGCGAGGGCAGATGCCAAAGCAGAGTTCTACGACTTCTTTAAGGAGGCTGGTTTAGGGTCAAGGGTTTAGGGTTTAGGGTTTAGGGTTCAGGGCTTTCTTGCTGAAGTGGTTGCATGCCTGAGTTCAGCCTCACTACATTTTTCACCGCCAGTAGTGTTTCGCATCACCATGCTCATCAGGTCACCAGCCCCTACTTGGAGATTTCTAGGCAATTTATAAGTGGGGTGATGAGGCCCCTCATATGGGCTATACTTATAGATAGTGGATGGCCTACTTATATCCCACTTAAATTATTATAGCAGCCTACCCATGAACCTCCAAGTACCCCTCATCACTCTCATTACCGGCCATCGTTCTCATCTCGCGTCATCGCAAGTGCCATAGGTTGTCTGCCAGTCGGTGCTACAAAGGCCGCCGGCAAAGTCGGGCTTCCTGGTGTAAACCCGCGCGAAACCCTAAACCCGAAAGAACACCCCTGAATCCGGTGCATGTTCCACTTCAGAGTCACCACAGAGGAAGTTGGCAGGGCAATCCACACTGAACGTCAAACTCATCAACGCGCTGCTGGTGTGCATCAGTCCTATCTTGCAATAGGGCTGGTCACATTTATGAAGAATTGCTTGGTGAGGATCCCTATACCGCAAAGACAGCGCCCCCTAGACCCGAGACCCTAAACCCTAAAGCCCCCCAAAACCCTGAACCCTAAACCCAAACCGGTTTGCTCGGCATATCGCACTCACTAAGCCTTAAGCCCTAAATCCTAAATGTTAAACCCTACACCAGACCAAACCGGTTTGCTCGGCAGATCGCGCTCCCTAAACCCTAAACATCCTACAAACCCTTAAGCAACAAAAAAGGAACCCTTACAGAACCTTTAAAGGAAGCCTTAAAGAACCTTTCATCAAGGAGCCTAAACCCTAAACCCTAAACCCTTATATAACCTTCAAGCGGAAGCCCTTAACGGAGCCCCGGTCCCGTCGCAGGCGAAGTTTTCTCTTTGGTGGCTGCCCGAAGTGAACAACATGTGTCGCATCCGACCGCAGGCACCCGGAGATACTATAAGAGGGTTTAGGGGTTTAGGATTTAGGGTTTGCGGTTTGGGGTTTGGGTTTAGGGTTTGGGGTTTGGGGTTGGGGGCTTAGGCTCCCGAACCGGACCCCAGGTACCTCCTCGCCGGAGCTCGCGCGAACGTGGGCATCAAGGCGCCGAAGAAAAATGCAGGGCATCCCCCGGCATCAGTCAAGAAGACTTTACGATTCCATCGAAATTCCAGGATACTGAAATCACCCTAAACTTAAACCCCTAAACCCCCCAAACTGCAAACGTCTAAACTCCTGAACCCCCCTAAACCCTAAACCCTAAACCCCAAACCCTAAACCCCGAAACCCCGAAACCCTAAACCCCTGAACAAAGCTCGAAGCCCCAGACCAGAAACAGGGCCTCGGGAGAAGGGCACTTGGTCTAGGACATCTTCAGGTGGGTAGTCTGGGCTTTGGAGTACCATACTTTAAATACTTTTTTTCGGGACCTGTTCCTTAAAGGAACCATTATGAAATAACAGTCTATACTTTTTTCTCCCTGGTTACTTCAAAGCCCACTTAGTTATCGTTATCGGAGCCTTATAGAAGCCTTATATTCCTTATGGACGCCTTATAGAAGCCCTATATACCCTAAACACCCCACCTGTAGTTTCCTTCAACTTGGGGTTTCAGAAACCCAGAGTTCACGTAACGTAGGGGCCTAGCTATTTGCCAATACTATTTTTTAGGGGTTCCGTATTATAAGTATAGGAGAACGGCCCCACAACCCTATTCTTAATTATTAAGGCCCCTACATTAGAGGCTGTATAAGGGTTAAGGGCTTTTTTGGGGTTTAGGGTTCGACCCTAAACCCTAAACCCTAAACTCTAAACTCTCAACCCCAAGCCCTAAACGGGGTTTGGGGAAGCGTCAGGTGAAAGGTTTAGGGTTTTCGAGTTTGTGGCTTAGGCTTCAGCGCTCTGGCTTAGGGTGGGGTTTTGGGGTTTTGGGTTTTGGGTTTAGGGGTTGGGGTTTTTGGGCTTGGCATGGTTGCCTCGTTTGCTTGAAGAGTGTCATGGTTAGCATCCCATGATGGGTGTTCAATAAAAGGACACACAATCTAAACCCCGCGGCTCAGGGTGTAGGATTTCCGGGTTCAGGGTTTAGGGCCTGCGGTTTAGGGTTTAGGGATGTTGAAGGTTTCAGGACCCTAAAACCCTAAACCCTAAACCCCTAAAGCCTAAAACCCTATAGAGCCTAAACCCCAAACCCTAAACCCCTAAAGCCTCAAACCCTAAACCCCAAACCCTAAACCCTAAACCCCTAAAGCCTAAAACCCTAAACCCTAAAGCCTAAACCCTAAAACCCCTAAAGCCTAAAGCCCTAAACCCTAAAGCCTAAACCCTAAACCCTAAAACCCCAAAGGCCCTAAACCCTAAAACCCCTAAAGCCTAAAACCCTAAACCCTAAAGCCTAAACCCTAAAACCCCTAAGGCCCTAAACCCTAAACCCTAAAGCCTAAACCCTAAAACCCCTAAGGCCCTAAACCCTAAACCC